TGAAATGAAATGAAATGAAATGAAATGAAATGAAATGAAATGAAATGAAATGAAATGAAATGAAATGAAATGAAATGAAATGAAATGAAATGAATGCTAGCAGGCAGAGCAACACCAAGCAGACCAGGGCTTAATTCTAACACAGCATGAGGTGCTTCAAATTTATTTGCACCCACTGGCCATCAAGTTGATGTATTGTATCCGTGCCGTACCTGATTAGGTACTGTACTCTTAGGTACCTAAGTATAAGTACCTCAGGTAGGTAGGTATCCATATATTCATATATTCATATATTCTATCTTTGTCTTGACCCTTGACCCTTGACCCTTGATCCTGACCCTTGACCCTTGAGCGCCACAACACCAAGCATCTATCTTACATATGTCCCTTTCCTTTGTCCCTTGATCCCTTGTGGTCGTTCCCTTCCCTTCCCTTTTTTCCCCAACACAACACAACACAACACATACTATGGATTCCGGACCCGGACCCAGACCCGTAGGAGTACGAGTACGAGTAGCTTAGCTGATGCACCTGCACTTGCACTTGCACTTGCACTTGCACTTGCTACAAGGCCAACCGTTGAGTAGCTGACTTGCACCTTACAAGGCCAGCCGTTGAGTCAGGGGCGAAAATCAAAATCAAAATCAAAATCAAAATCAAATCGCCACAAGAAAAATAACCCGAAACCAATAGCCGGCTGAGTCGCCAGAAACCTCTATGACTTAGAGGAGATTCATTAATACAACGGCAAATACTAGCAGTCCAACCTTCTTCATGGCAACAGCCTCCATGGTCTCGGCCCCGCTCAGATAGTAGGCCGCTCCGAGATAACTGCAACTGATGACACCCGAGTCATTACTCCGGCTACCATAGCTGTCCTCAAGTCCCGCACCCTCCAGGGGACAAGCAAACCCAAGACTCGCCGGACAACTCTGAACCAGGTCATAACACAAGTCCTTACATGGAAGCACTTCCTTGTACGGGCCCGGTTGAATCGACTCGTCGATCAATGGATTCCGTGATGAATTGGTCGCCACGGAGTTGAGGAGCGCTTGCTCAACGTGCAATTGAGAAGCAGAGATGCTCGAGCCGTTGACAAAAGGTTGGCCGAGATTGCGCGGTTTGAGCCACGAATGGTTGTCAGATAAGTCGGCGCAACGAGGAATGGTGACGGCGCAGAGCCACTGTTTGTAGGCCCGGGCGCAGTCGTCGCAGTTCCGGGCTAGTGAGTACTGAGCGCTCGAGGTGGTGTTGCATGGTATCTGCTGAAGGGAGTAGTTGAAGTATTGGTACATCTGGGCCGCGTGGGAATCGTACAACGCGGCCAATCCGGGCAAGCCCGTTGTAGGGTCGAACTTGTGTGGGTTGGTGGGAACGGCGTAGGCGACTTCGGAACAGAAGGAGAGATTGTACATCAAGGCGCAGTTGTCCTCGGTTTTAGTCTGGAAGTCGATGGCTTGCCAGACTGTGCCTCCGCCTCCGACGACGCCATTCCCAGATGCCGTCGAGTTGCCATTCATGACGAGAAAGCCCCAGTATTGAGACGTGGCGTTGAGTCCCGTGATGTAGAACTGCTCCTTCGGTTTCCCTCCAAGACCTCGGTTGGTCATTTTGGCAACGTTCTGACTCTCAATTCCCGGCACGTTCGCCGCTAATCGGGCCGTGTTCTTCAAGCCGCAGAAAGAGTTTTTGACTCCGAGGATAGCCGTATCATTGTGGTTGGCAGCAAACACTCCCCACGGAGGACTGAGATTCATCCAGTCCTGGTATACCGTCTCATTTGGCTGGGCTTGGGTGGTGTCATTGGTGATGAGCAGTGCTGCATGGTTGTCGCTATCAACAAAGTGGAGGTTCGTCACATTGGACTTGGAGCCGTGGAAAGGAGCATCGACCGAAGCAGCTATCTCGTAGTTCCAGATGCCAGCAAACTGTGTCGTGTTAGGTGCAGACACCCCGACAAACACATCGTTGTCAGCATCCACCTCGTATATGGCATATCCTCCGTCCACCTCGACAGTATTCCCAGACTCTGGACCGGGCTTCTGGTTGGACTGAGACAAAGAGATGTACATCTGCAGCTGCGGTGGAGTTGAGTTGCTTGCATCGCCGTCGGTGGTGTTGGGAGAAGGTTGCAAGCACGTATTGAGTGTAATATAAACTCTTTTCCCGTCTTGTCGCTTTTTGAGCCCACCTACTTCTTCATCTAATTCCCGCGTCTCCAATTTGTCGGATGGCAGTCCAGGCCCGGTGGTACCTCCCGGTCCGTCGATAACATCCTTTGGCATGACCCAGTGTTGGGTTTCACCGACGTTGATGTTACTGTTCTGGGGGGCATTGTTGGCCAATGCTGACACCCCAGCCTCCGCTCGTGATACTATCTTGACTGCCTCTTGCCCCTGCGCTCCTTCACCAAAGATGTCACTTTCTCCCTCGTCATATATCAGGTAGTGATTGTGATCTTCGGGCGGTATCCGAGGACCAAGCTCGGCGGCATATGCGAAGTGTGGTTTGCTCAGGAACAGGTATACCGCGAGTAAAACGAGAGATGCTGCCAGCGAAGCAACGAACCTCGATTGGAGAGGCGTGAGTTTGGGAGGAAAGGGCATGGTTGAAGGCCAGCTTCTAGGATCGGACTGCTACGAAAGGGACGGGGACGGAGGACGGAGGACGACTGGCTCTGCTGGCAAGGGACTGCTATGATGACATGGTCGGTCTGGAGTTCGAGCAGTCGAATGGTGTTGGATTATGCAGTTGTGAGCGACAGACGAATGCTGAGCCCGGGTATTGCACGTCAAGGACGTGGAAATAGGGACATATCTGGAGTACAGTACAGTACAGTATGGACGTATAGCCAGGATAGAGGGAGGATTTGCGGGACTCCCGCTCCATCGGGGATTTGGAGGTCAGCCACTGCGCCACTGCGCCACTGCCACTGCCACTGCCACTGCCACAATGCTTTAGCCGTGAAGTCAGGTGAAATCACGTGAAGTCACGTGAAGGCAAGGTGAAGGCAAGGTGAAGGCACGTGACGGTGCCTCCCCCATCCACCTCTAGTTTGTCCTTCAACGTCCATGTAACTTTCATCCCATCCTACATGTACTGATAGTAATATTGTATCTTTTCTAGATAGCAAGTCCACCTAGGCGGCTGCCCGTAATGGCAGAGCTGTGCGAGCATAAGCCTACCATTGGGTGCGTTCTCACGGCGCTCCCAGGATGTTGTGCCTGTGCCGACAGACGACCGCCGGCGACTGCCTACCCCGTCTACATCGATGGCCAGGGAATGAGGCTCCGAGGCAAGCGCTGGCAACGTTATTGCTGGAAGTGTCGTGGTAGGTCTATACAAGTGCTTTCTGCCGTCTTGGGCTCTGGACCACACCCGCACTCTGCTCTACAACATCCATCCACTTATTGACATATTGTTAATCTGCTCCAGATTATTGGAATCTACAGTCACAGTCTACTTCCTCTCACTCGCTATCTATAACCCCAACCCCTCGAAACACAGACATGTCCACTGCACCAAACCCACCCGAAGAAGGCCAGCAAGACAACGTGAATCCCGTTAATGTACGGTCAGGTCCTCCATCTTGGTCCTTCGAGTCAATTACCATTCCTCAACCAACCCTCCGCCATGACCCGTCTCATCCTGTCGCGCACCACAGTACTCTTGCGCCACGGAATCCCACATCAGGAACCGCCATGGTCCATGTGCATGGCCAGGCTGTCACCCCACGCCTCTCCAGACGTCAAGCTCATGCCGACCTCTCGAACTCCGATGACAACGCCAGAGAGTCGGGCACGATCAGAAGGAGACGACGGCCTGTTGCCAATCCGTTCGGTACTAGAGAGGAAATTGAGTCAGACGGCTATCAGAGCCCTGTCGCGGACCTGTTTGGCAGAGCCTGGATTCGTTATAGAGAGCATCAGGAGGCTGGTCGAGCAACCGGGACCCCTGCTGAAGTTGAAAGGCAGACGGCTGGAGATGTCAACATCCTAGGCACCGGACCGCCAAGGTCTGACGGGGTTGGTCTAGATAGGACTATGGCTCTGAACCGCCAGAGAAACGACATGGAAGATCGGTCCCTGTTCATGGCCTTGGAAGCTTCACTCCGCCAGCGCCAGCGAGAAAACCCTCATGCACACCCGAGAGTCAACCCTATCGATCAGCAGTCCACGCGACCGCGGCCGCTCGAAAGTGAGGAAATGACCGTCAACATTGCGTGTAAGATATGTTGCGAACAAAAAGTTGATACTCTCCTGGAACCCTGCATGCATGTCGCTATATGTCACTGGTGCTCGGAAGTGGTCCGCGAACGTGCTCGTGAATCTGCTCGCCGGCGTCGAAATGAGCCAGACCGGAGAACGGATGAGGAGGATAAATGGAAATGTCCCATCTGCCGACGTGATGTCACACAGTCAAGAAGAGTGTATCTGGCGTGAAGAATCGTTGGCGGGGGATATTGAAGTCACGAATTGGGTTGGCTTCCTTATTGTGCATCAAGATCTTATGAAAGTATCTGCGTTAGGCGTTGACCTCGGATGGCACGGGCGTGCAACCCCAACTGTCTGGCCTGGATGAATCAGGCACTGTGATATGTGGAGCGGGAAATCTCATGTGAGTTGGACTAGGTCAAGAGGGTCTGTAGACAATAATCACAGACGAACGTAGCATTGCATTGCCTTACCATGCCTGCCTCTGTGCCTTATACCTCCTTGACATTGCAGATCTGGAATTGAACATACATGCTTGAAGGTTCTAGATGCACCAGGAGAGAAGCAACCGAGATATCGACGATGCCGTGTTGACGTTGGTGGCTGAAAAGGAAGGATGATTGATCAATCTAGAGCCTTGGGCATAATGGCAAGATCTGTCCAAAGACAGCGCCACCTTCCTACCTGCCTACAGCCCTAGCTTTTAGAAAGCAGCCGGTTCATGGACTGGCAACGGGACAACTCACGGACAGATCAGGAATTGTTCACGGGCCTCCTTCCTACCTTTCCGAAACTCATCTGAAACACGGGTACTCTCGGCAAGACTGCCCTGATACCAGGCACACGTAGACCAGAGCAAATGTACAAACCTGGGGGAGGTTGACCAGAACGTCCAGGAAGCGTTGTGGTAGCAAAGTGAAGTTTGCCTTTGACAGTGGACAGAAACCACAAGATTTTGATGCCAGCTAGCCAAGTGAAGATTGTCCCCACGGTCGCCAGAAGTGGCATGGTTTGCCCTCTGAAAAGGAGAGAGTGCAGAAGTTCTCCTACCAAGAACTCGTGTCATCTGTAGGACAACACGCAAGATATCCTCAATCACGTATCGGGAAAGGGAAGATGTTTCGAGGGCTGAGAGACTGTTGCTCACCGTTTTCGTAGCGGAAGTACATCAAAGGCGAGGAACCGGCGCAAGACCAGACTCGTCAGTATGAGCTGCTCCACCACCACCCTATCTAACCGCAAGATCAACCAGGAAAAGGACATTTTGTGGCCGGAAAAGGCGTCGTTGGATGCAACCTCGGAATGAAGGTTCGACAAGATATCAACAAATCGGGGTGTTTAGGGAACTTGGACGGCATCTTTTGCGTGGTCGTGTCTGCCTTGTTGGATTCCCCTATAACCCTGTACACGCCCGACGTGCCTCGCAGATCAGGGCGAAGTTACGGGGGTACCTGAGTAGTGAGTTACATACCCTGACTTGAGAAAGGGAGTCCGTGCACGGGTGGATTCAGGGGAGTGCTATCGCAAAATCTAGGCGTCAGCATTATTCCCGTAAGCCAACCCACCAGTTAGTCACTATTAGCAGATCCATAGCACCGAGCGATTCGAAATCCAAAACCACGACGGGCCAATTCTTGCATACCAATTTGGGAACCGGGGTAATCTCCAAGTTTGTAATGAGGCAACCTTGAGACGGGGCGCCGACTCAGGCTGGACACTCGGGTCTGCCTGCTCAGAGGAGATGTCCAGTTGGTCGCAACAGAAGTTGAAGTTCTCCAAGCAAAGTGGAGCTGCGCCGTATCGAGACGAGACTTCGAAACAGCAAAGGGTCGAATCAGTAACCGGAAATGAAAAGGCAACCACCTGCTTGTCGCATGATATCCCTGATCTGGGCATGGATGCGTCCACGGATACAGAAGATGGGATTTGTCCGAGACCTGGCGACAGCTAGGATCATTTATTGGATCCTGGTCGACCCGTTTTGGCTGCCTGTTCGGAGGCAAAATCGACATGGGAGTGTCGATTCTCCTGACCGGGTTAAGACAACCAGAGAGGCTCCAATTATATTAAGAAGCTGACAGGAGACAGCCACCTTCCTGGTACTTTGTAATAATCCGACCATGGCGGGTCTCGTAGGGTGACAACATGCGGTGTACGGAGACGTGGTCGAGCTGCCAGCACATCGTGTACTGTGGATATCATGTGAGCCTTGTCATGGTCCCCGGTCAGCCGATTGCAAGACCTGTACGGACTAGGTAAGTGCCTGATGGTGTTGCGCACGATGGGCAGATAGATTTGTTGGCATTAGCAGCCTGAAAATAGCCCCCAGTGCAAATCTCGTCCTCGATTCGTGCCATTGCAAGGCCACTCACATGTCTGAAGGCGAGCTGGAAATGGGATGAGGCGAAAGGACAGGGGTCGGCCAACCTCTAAGTTCTTCTTTATCCCTACGGCCTCTTGTTCTGTCGTGGCTTTGCTGACAACGTGATGCTATGAGTTGTGGAGATTTCGCGACGGTCAGCGGGCAGGGTGCCAACTCTTGCCATGTGTTGACTCGGTACAGTCGAAGGGGAGGCGATGCGAAGGCGACAATGCCGGCAGTCCCTCTCAGCGTACAGCGAATGACTTCTCAGCCCTCTGAGTGTACAGCGAATGACATCTTAGATGGCGATAATAATCTTGGGAGTGCCACCTCCTTTCTCTTTCACATCGTGGCCACATGGATCCTCAAGCACAACAGAGATTACGTATGCCACTGGCTGCTGCGGTGGTATCCCACAAAGCGTTGGGGGAGCGGGAAGGCCCAGATTGGGGGCTGTGTAATTCGCCACAGGTCGATCTAAACAATGGAACGCGCGGAGTGTATGGATACCACACTATTCTCATGGCTTTGCAAACATCTGAGTAGGGGTAGAAGGTATAGAGAGCATGACAGCCAGTTGATGATCCGCATACCCCGGTTGAGAGAGGGTGATAAGGCTGAGGCTGAGGCGGCTTCAAATAGGTCTTGAACGAGGCTAGCGAGTTCTGCGATGGAGATGGACAAGTGGAAGACCGCCGGTACTGACCCTTGCCTCGAAGTTGAGAAACCGGCGACGGTGACGATGGTGACGCTGGTGGCACTGATGAAGAGACATGTCGTCAGCTGGGCGACGTCGATGTGAGTGACAGGATGGAGTACTGAGGGCGTTGTGACTGAGGGCGGAGGGCGCAGGCCGATACCAAAGTACTGTAAATACTCCCTCCGTCCAAGTGGTGGAAGCACAAGTTGGTGCAAGTGGTAACACGTGGTAAGCTTCTGGCGCCTTATGTAATCGCTGCATACGCCACGGTGCCACACTGGTGATACTGTCGCTTCATGTTCGACTCGATCCTTTGCATTCACTCCCACTCGCTAAAGCGCAGGACTTTCTTTCACGGTTGTCGGAGCGAACATTTCTTCGCCATAGAGGTAGGAGTTCAACTGGCTTTCTGGTTCATATCATCATTAGACTTTTGCCCGTTTCTAAGATCTACGTGCTTTTCCTTCCCTGCTGCAGACCAGCAACATGCAGCAACAGCTATTACACTCCAAGCTAAGGGCTCTCATTTTGTACTTGGCCCATGGCTGACAAGTTTGGCTGAGCCCCAAACAGCGCTTTCGCTAGGCTGGACTCCAAGTCGCATGCTCAACATGGCAACGACCCCGCTGACTTGCGCCTGACGCACCAGCAGGGAGACAAACTTACTCTGCTCATTCGGTCTTCGGCTTGCTGTCTTGGACAGTATCGTAGATAGAAGTAGCGGTAATAGTGGCAGCTGGCAGTCGGCAGGCAAAGGTTCCCATGCAGACGCTGGTGAGCTCGGACATCGATACACATTGATCGATGTAGGTGTCACGCCGCATTCAGACGATGTCGATCATTTGTGCATCGACGTCTGAATCAACAGATGTTTGCGGACACACGCAGTCCATGAGAGAAGGGTTCTCCAAGGAGGTGGCAAATTCAGTACAGGAGAATTGCTTCGATATAGTGTCGTAGATCATGTAACGGTTCAACTGCACATGTGTGAGTTCCCGATACCAGTTGATACAGCGTGTACATACCTGTGCGAGCCTTCCACCTAGCCAAAGGCATCGTTCGGCACGAGGGGCAGCATGGCTTGGAAGCTCCAGAGTGCGTTCATCTTCATCGACCACCTGGCCCTCAAAAAAGTCGGCCGGGAAATAGTAATAGGCCCATTCCAGTCCTCGCATGAGAAAGTCCTCTGGCAGCTGGCGTCCTGTTCCAGACTGATGTTGAGGGAAGTCCTCGGCCTCGATTCGTGCATCAACCACTCCGGATCGGCTCAACGTATTCAAGCAAAGCACCAGCTTCGTCCACGGAACATAGTTTTCTATGTACACGAGGGCTCCTGGCACGTAGGATAGACTCCAAAGAAAGGCTAACGTAATATGCATAAACGGCAATATGTTCCGATCGCCCACTTTTCCGGCTACTATGGATATAGACGTTGACCAAACCGGAAGAACGTATGATGTCACTTCGTCGGCCGAGGTGAACTTGGCTCCTGGCCGAGCACCAGCAGCGGGAAGGACTTGACGAAACAAGGTCACATTGATTGAGCCATTGTTCCAAAATTTGTGGTGGATGTCCTGCTTCATATATGGATCCTCAGGCGGCCGTGTATCTGTGATGGGGTCCAGCTGTTTCTCATGTTGGGTCCCTTTAATCTCCTCCGTGTGGGTTCGGAAAGCCGTCCAGAGGAAGTTTTGATCGGTGCCAAAGTCCAAAAGCCATGCAATAAGAGACAGCGCAATCTCGGAGCCTTGCACCTTCCAATTAGAACCGGTCCGGGAAATGTGATTGTCCAATTCGGAAATATATTGTGTAACATGTACACAATACTGGTTGATCCAGCCCTGAGTGAACAAGATGCCTCCAGCAGTGACAAAGGAACTCTCCAGCTTGGGGTACTTCTGGATTGTCGATTGGGATTTCTCCAGGAACGGTGAATACAGAAGCATGATCGAATCTCGTGCATTGACAAAGGGGATGCCGCTCGTCAAAGCTTTGGAGTAGTAGAACAGTTGCCGCACAATATTGGGCCGGGCCAGGACGGCAAGGTGATGCTGAATTCTCCCGGTGGTGGGGGAGCGATCAGCAGCACGGTTGTACCACATGCGCGCCACGTTAGCCCAGGTCTCCCGGTCTCGCATGTCGGTTTCCTCAATGGCCATCCTGTAACGAGCCAGATCTCCCAGGCACTCGATCCAAGTTTCATGGAACGCAGGAACATATTCCAAGAGCAGCCCCATCATCTGATACGCTAGATAGACAAAGCTCAACATGTGCTCGAGCGACTGCGGCAGAAGATGACGAAGCAATTCGAGGAACGAATGGATGGCATGCCTCCACATGCGAGCAGGCATTGCGTATTTTGTCGGCAGGCGACGTAACGCTGGGGAAGCAGCCGGATGTTGGGTCGCCTGGAAGAAATCCAAGTGCTCATGGAGAAGGGTTCGATGAAGTGCGATCAAGGCCTGCCACTGTTCATTGGACAGTTTTGTGGAGGACTGAGACTGATGCAGGCACACCTCGACGCATTTCTTCTCCACCATGACAAGGCCGGCATATATGCCTTTGATCTCGTTCACGAGTTGGTCCTGGGTCACAGGCCGGGTCTCTGGCTGCAACTCGATCTTGGAGGTTTGATCTAAGGCTGTATCATGGTTAGAGGTACCAAGAGACGGAGCAGGGCTGAAGGGATTCTTTTCGCCGTCGTGACGCGGTAAAGATTGGCGCGAGTTTGGCTGTGTCATGGGCACAGGTACGGGCACGGGCACGGGTTGCGGCGAGGTTAGCTTTGGCGATGAGAACGGGGTCCTCTGCGCTGACCGTTGCCCGGCGGAGAATGACTGTGTCTTGACAGAGACAGAGCCAACGGCAGGAGAAGGGGTGTAGGAGAAGGCCAGATCATGGCGCTGCGAGTTGGGCGAGGTGGAACTGGCTCGATCTTCCTGGGCTCGTATTTTGGTGGTGGGCCGTAAGTCTTGGTCGAGAGCAGGCCGTTTGCAAGGTAGCATAGGATCGGCGGCAGACACCATGAAGGATTGATTTGGGTCGGTTTGGCAAAATCTGGTAAGACAGTAGGGGGGTTCCTGTCTGACGGATGAAGATGGTGGTGCTGCATGTTGCTGAAATATCTGACCAAGACTCGGAGGGGCTTGTTGCGGTGACGAGTCCTGCCAGCCTGGCCGCGATTGGGATTTACTCTCGCCGCTAGGCAGCCACGAGTCAGCCAATTCCGGTGGAAGGCTTGGGGGGTCACAATCTCCGCAAGCATGGAGTGACGGCAAGTCGCAAATGGGAGATGTTGGTGGCTGGTGGTGGTGGGTGGCGGCAGTGGCTGCGCGGGTGGCAAAGGAGATATAAGCAGAGACTCACTTCGGACTCGCTGAATCTGGACGGTTGAGCCAGCGCTGCAGCTGGGCAGGAGACTGCGGGCCGGGCTTGCCCGAGTCGAAGTCGTGTCTTCGGGTATGATTCAAGTGTCTGCTCGGATCGATCGCTGAGGGATTTCGAGCAGCCATTGATGATGGCGTGGCGGGTGGTGAGCAACGGCGACGGCAACATCAACCACAACTGCAACTGCAACTGCGGGTGTGGTGATGACACGACAAATCGTGCAGCGCAGCGCAGCCGGACCCAAGTTTTTCCGTTCCGGCAGGTGCGGGGTGACGCTGAAGCTGAGGCAGATAGAAACCTGCGGTGCACCCGGAGAAGTCCTGCTGCGCTTGGTCAACGCTGTCCGCCATTGGGCCAATTGCTTGCTCATCGTTTCGACACGCTGGACATCCAAGCCTTCGATTCCGACAAGAGGGACGGGGACGAGTGCAGACATACTTCTTGACAGCGCTGGAGCGCGAGAAGCAGGAAGAGAGCGAAGAACGACGACGGTGGTCTGAGCGTCGAGATGACACGAACGAGTCCAATCGAGAAGACTACTGAGGCTATACTACGATCAGAACTCACTGTTGAAAAGAGCCGCAACATGTGGCAGACTGGGCACTATTATTTAAGAACAGCAGACCGGTGTGAAGACTGAGGGTCGCTCGTTTCGTAACACTGTGCACATTGCAACAACATGCGAACCAATTTTGCGAACCAAGGCAACCATCCCTGAGGCTCAACTCTAGCGAATCAGAGATCGACGCGGGTGCAGGGGTTTTCGTCCCCAGCATGCAGCTATTGCTGCCTGATAGGTGCCTGATATATGGATGGCGGCAACGGCAACCTGGAGGAATATTATAAAACAAGTCTGACAGTCTTTCGTGGGATGAAGGTTGCGAACCTTATACACATGATTCTCTGAGAGCGGTGCGCAACCAACACACCTTCTGTTGGTATCTGTGATCTCGGTCTTCCCCACCGGATACCGGGCACTATTTGGGCCGGTCAGGATCAGGCTGGTTTCTCACCGGCCGCCCTTTCAGCCCTTTTAGGCCCCGGCCTCCTTTCCCCTCTCGATTTCAGCCAGCCCGCGCTGCCTTCCTGCCTTGCAGCTGCCGTCCGAACTCCAGCCTCCAGTCTGAGTTTCTGCAATCTCTTAGGCGCCAAATGTATCTCTAGTCCTTTCACACGCTTCCTAGGGTCGCGCAGACCTTTGGCCCCAGAATCCTCTTCACCGCTGGCCATCCCCCTGAGTCTGCAGCTCCACGTAGACCATCACGAGGAGCGAAGAGATTTGTGCGGCCCAACAAATGAAGCGACGTACCGATCCACGACATCCGGTTGATAGACAACATGGTTGCGTTGCCTCGCTTTATCCAATACGATTTTACGAGATGTCTCATGACGTTGTCACGTCACGCAAGATGACGAATGGATTCCGGACGATCGTCTCCGTCAGACTTTGAGGCAAACCAAGGTAAGGCTTGTTCAAGGCTCCTCCCTTGAGGATGTCACACCATACTTCTGAACAATTTGCGAACACCAACTTCATTCATCCACGGCGCCCTCAGTTGCACGAAACATAGGTCTCGTGCTTTAGGGAATGTTCTCTCCCTCCCATTGCACCAATCCCCGGGCATTTGTGTCATTGTATAGGCGGATCTGGAGCAAGATGACTTCTCGCAAAGGATGCATTCAAAGGGGAAAATGTCCCCATGGATGAGCCGGTCTTGTGTCTCGCCGCCTTTGTCGGTTTCATTTCCCATCAGATGACAGTTACACATTGGCACGTGTCAGTGTCGGTCTTCCAGCACGAGCAATTCCCATTGAGGACCAACTATCCCTAGCACCTGTCATGAATTCAAATCAAACCAATGGACGGATGTACAACTGGGATCCTTTGGCGGTTTACACGGACAACAAATGGAAAGTCGTTTGTATCAGGCAACTTTGGTTTCATCGGCTCACCCAACTGCCATCTGCTCCGTCTCGTTCAGTAAGTACTTGTCGACAAGCACCCGCGAAGGCGAACAGTGCTATCGTCACATGGTTCAGCTGAGGCCACCCGAGTGCTCGCTTATCCTCTTCTGTGGCCGGTTCTTCGGGAAAGAAAGTCGGCCTCAAGACAAGCCTGATGGTCAAAGATCAAATTTTCTCTGATTAGGAAGTCTACACGGTAAGGAGACAGCCAAATGAACTGCCCGTCGTGGGGACAAGGTAGCGAGCAGAGACATGATTGGGATGTTTGAAGATCTGATGCGAGAAACGGCTCTGGGCAGGGACTGCCCTTATGTTCGAACTCAAACACGCTGCAAGACACCAGGCAAAGACTTCAACGACCCATTACATGAGATATGGTTTTGAAGCATTATCGCAATTTCTGCCGACTTGCCTGGGGCTACCCACCGGTCTCGCCCAATTTCGAAGTTCGCAACAGGAAGCTTCGATGAAGCGGAATTCGACCTTGCGACGCAAAGGTAGGAGCGAGTACTCCCTCCATCATCTCAATGCCGAGCGCCAACCCTGCTTTGATGACTCCGAAGAACAGTTTCAAGTCATCTCCTGTAATTGCTTCCGTTCTGAGGCCATCATCCCCCTTGAGGCTCCGCTGCTGCAATCGATATGTCTCGATGTGATGGGCAATTTGACAAAAGGCTAAGGTAAAGACTGATCGATGCCTGTGCTCGTTAAGCGAGCGGCTCGGGGATTGGCTCCTTAGGCTTGGCAGGCAACCAGGCAACCTTTGACTGACATATTTATCCTCCGTACAGTAGGGAGAAGCTCCTACCTTTGAAACAGCTCGAAAAGGGGGATGCGCTAAAAAGAGTCCGGACGGATGCCATGGCAAAGTTGCAGACAGAGCATCTTCTCGCGAGCTCTCTTCCTTTCCCCACTGGCCCAGCACTTGATCCGGAATGCAACCGAGTTTTAAGGAGCATTCCAACCCTCACCTCAGATTTGCTCCTATTCGTTCCAGTCCACCAAGGGATGCTGCTCATCTCCGCGGCCGTCATATGGTTCCATCCCCCCGTGTGATGCGGCGGCTGTGCGAAGCCATCCAGACAAATTTGCCTTCTATCCAGAGCGAATGACAGCTGAACCCACCTCACGGGCCGGGCAATGCGCGAGATATGCGCCTACGGACGAGCGAGACCTGGGTTGACTGGGTTTACTGGGTTTCTGTTCTCGGATTGCACATGTTGTGGCTGCGAGGAGGTCTGAACGGTGCATGCAATTTGGCGTACGGAGTCCGGAGTACGGAGTACAGCTAGGTCCAAATCAGAAGCTTGAGGGAGTAACGAGAGACAGTCTCCAGACATTGGTGGTTACACTGTGTGGCATTCGTGTCGCTCCTGCTCGTTTCACTGCAAGGCAACGGTTTTCTTCCTTTTGATCACTTCTCCACGAATCAGCGGTTACTCGGATCACGTTGTTTTCAGCTCCTGTATCGCGGGGGCGACAGCAGGATGATTCTCGATTTTTCAGCCCTACGGTGGGTACGCTCTAGGATTCTAGGATCTGTGCATTGTGCATCGAATTCATTGCTCTTCACTTGGAGGAGGCATTTCGAACCATGCTCGCGAGGACGGAGCCCATCACCGGTTTCACCTCGGCCACTGCCTGGTCCGCGATCTCGTCTCACGAGACCATCAGCAACAACGATCACACGGGTGGGAGATGCAAGGTAAATGGACAGGCCATTCTGCTGTGCGCAAATACGTTGGTCGACGAATCTTCTCCTTCTCCCGGTGACATGGAGCATCTCTATACTAGCTGCGTTCCAAAATCTTTGTACCACTCTGATGTCTTGGTTGGAGCAACTGGTCTCGTGGGACTGGTTGCGATAGCTTGCGACTCCGGACTGGTCTTCAACCGGCAAAATACCCCGGACGAGCGAGCACACACATCTCGCCAGGGCAAGGCGAGGAGGTCAGCTGCATGGAAGGACATGAGGGAATTCTAGGTATGCAAAGGGACTCAAGCCTTAGACCTGCATGATGGAGTGTGGACTGGACTTTCCTGAACAGGGGCGCCCTTGTTGCGCTTATTGTTATTGTCTGCTTGAAAATTGCGCCCGCTCACTGCTAGACGGAGAGAGAGCCTGAGGAGTGAGTTTGTGCCTCGACCGGTCAGGATGATGACAGTCCTGACCTACGGTACTTCCTACAGTTTCCAGCTCGGTTCAATCTGGATATACAAAGTCATAGTAGTGTGGGATCAAAGTAGTCAGGCTGACGCTGACCGGAAGAAGCCACGAGGGATCAGTCTCACCTCAGCAACCGGCGGCTTCAGCACGATAAGCCAAAGAGAAACTATGACGGTGGTTCGATGCGGGTTCCATGCGAATTGCTGCAAGGCAACTCGTCGATGCCTAGCACCATTATCACATTATCACTCACTATACGACGGTCGTATGCAGCCAGAGTTTCCCCCGTCTCGACCACACGGCCGACTAATCAGCCCAGCCAGTGAGAGTATGGATGTATGTACATGTATCGAGGCATCTTTCGGAATATCCCTGCACGGGTCCGTTTGCGGAACCGCCCTTTCATGGAGAGACGGGTTCGCCAGGAAGTCGGGATCGGTACGGAGTACGGAGGACATCGGTGATGTATTGCCCTACTAGTATACTAGTATATACTAACCTAGGTAGAGTATATGCATATGTATGCCTGCGTCCCGCCTCCCGCATCCCGCGTCCACAGAACCAGGGGTCAGGGGCTGTAAGCCAGGCTAATAAGGCTAAAGGCCAATAAGGCCAATAAAGCTAGTGAAAGACGAGGGTGATATGTATGCAAGGATGAGGATGTCGACGTCGACGCCCGACTTAGCTACATATCCGTACGTCTACTCTGTACATTTATTTACCTTTACCTTTACCTTGACAGCTGATAGTTGTTGGTTGGTTTGGTTGATAGACTGTGCGCCCCATGCATGTTCCATCTCCCGTCAGCCCAGCTCAACATCTACTGTCCACGGCTCGCTTGGTCACAAGATAGACAGACCCCCCTCGGCTTTCAGTCTGTGTGTGTGTGTGTGTGTCTGTGTCTGGTCTGGTCTGGACTCTGGACTCCATTCCATGCTATGCAGTGCCTGCTGACCATCGACCATCGACCATCGACCATCGACCATCATCATCCTGATCGCATCAGGCCTGAACTCACCACCAACCCCGCGTAGAGAGACTTGGCACTATTCGTTGTTTCCTCTCTCTCTCTCTCTCTCTCTCTCTCTCTCTCTCTCTCTCGTCAGCAACGTCACCAGTCAACAAGTCCGTTCAGTAGGTAGGCTTTGTAGCCGCGCTCTAGATTTGATAGCATTACTCACATACTCACGTCATAGTCATAGTCATGTCGTCCTAAGGATCTTTTCTTCTCCCCTTCCCCTCCCCCACCCACCCACACTCACATCCACATCCACATCCACACCCTCATCCACACCCTATCTCCCGGCTTCGGACTCCGGACATGCAACGGGAGAGGACGCATGTTTGGGTTTCATGCAACAGGACAGGACGCCCAGCTTGGGTTCCATGCAATGCAATGCATGTCCAAGTCCGGGCTCGCACTTGCATTCACAGTCCCTCCAGCGTCTGACGAGTTCGAGTTGCTGAGGTGGACGGGACGGACTGACGACTTGTCGTGTCTTGGTGCGGGCGGTTCCAACTCGAACTTGAACTGGTTGAAACTACATACAGTATTCACTTCCACTTCCAGTTCCATCTGGGGTCCGGTCCGGTTCGGTTCGGTTGCCTTGCAGTTGGACTATTATGCTGCAGCATGTCAGGGGGAAGTAGTCCGTAGGCGTACATAGGGTTCAAGTCTTTGACAATGGCAGATGCAGATGGCAGATGGCAGTTGTTAGATGCTAGTCTAGCCGAGCATGGAACGACTGAGGCGCACTGATTCGGTCTGGGCTGCCATACACCATACACTGTACACTGTACACCGCTCTGCTCTGTCACCCCCATGCTGTGAAGGAGCAACGAACAAGAAGCAACGAGCAACGAGATGGAAGTGAGGACCTTAGCATGCATTGCATTGCATTAAATCACATCACATCACATCACATCTGCCGGTGTTGCCTGTTGCCTGCTGGGTATGTAGCTAGAGATGGTAAACGGTAGACGGGAGATGGTCATGTGCCAGACATCTATCTTTACGGATACGAATAGTGCACTTTGTGGGCACTATTGCTACTATCACTATCACACATGTCCTAGGTTCGGTAAGGTAGGTAGGTTAAGGTTAACAGGGCTCTTGCTGTTGCTGTTCAGGCAATCGAACGAATATGCCCGTACAGTGTACAGTAGTGTGCGGATGGGCGAAAAGGGGAAGGGGAAGGGGGGAAGAGAAGAGAGAGAGAAGAAAGAATCCAGCAGAAGAAACAAAACACTGCACAGGATACGTATGTTTGACAGCCAGCGCAGTTCCTTTTGGCGTACATACAGTAACTAGTGGTAGTGGTAGTGGTAGTGGTAGTGGTAGTCAATGGCCTAGCAAGTCAGACTTTTATTCTTATTTCTTTTCCGCCTGGCCTTGACATGGCCTTGACTTTCTGATCGGCTGAAGCTGAGGCTGAGGCTCACTACAGAGTACTTACACTTACTGTAAGTCGCCAGCATCTCCCATTTAACCCTAACCCTAACCCTCTTCCCATCTCCCATCTCCCAGGCTTCACTTGATCTTCAAGGTATGAGTGCCACAGATCTATCCCTGGGGACACGCTGCTTGACCGCCCAATGGAGTGGGAGTCTCTAGCTCCTGGTGCTGAATCGCTACACACCGGCGGACCGAACAGAAAAGAAGACGGACAAGGTCATTGAGCAGCTTGACGTATTCATGCCAATAGATATAAATGTGACTGACTACAGCTTTTTCTTCAGATTCTTCTTGCCGTCATTGCCCGAGCCCGTTCTGGAAGTTGACCATCTTAACTTGAATAGCACCCACAAGAAGCCCAGCGCGATCGAGACTATCGTCAGATATTCGATGGTGCGTGGACTGGTCACCTCGGTGTCCAGCACCGGAACCGCGATCCGTTCCACGATAGTACCATTCTGAGGCGCAGGATTCAGATGATAAAACATGGTCCTTGGACCAAATAGCCCGTCATAGCCTAGCTGTGTTCTGTCAAAAGGGTTGACGGGGAACTTGGTACCATCCTCGGCCGTACAAGCCCAAAAGACGATGGGCCAGGGCACTTCAACCGTTGATGTGCCTCCTGCCGTGGGCTCAAGATATCGAAGGTGTAGAGGAATCGTCACATCCCACATACCGGCAGAGTCTTTGTGGTTACTTTCCCTGTCATTCGGAGTCTGGATCTCCAAAAGTATGGTTGAACCCCATTTATTTACCACATAATTGGGGGCTTCAAGGTCCGTCTCGCCGGTGATCGACCGCAATCGGCCAAGATTATGGGATTTCTGGAAGAGGGGATCGTTACTGAGAAAGGCATACTTGTCTGCGAAGATATGCGATGGAAGGGTCAGGTAGGTTTGCAAGGCACAAACACTCCCCACGGGCTTATTTTTGGGTTCCGTCAACGACGATGCAGACGCAAACGAGATTCTCAGAATAGGGTGTAGGCCGGTAGGCTTGTCGAACGAGATCGTGTATCGTTGCAGTTTTGATTGATCCAGGCTGAGCGAGTGGTGTCGAGAAGGAAAGCTGAACAGTGTCGGCTTGGGATGGTCATCTTCTCCGACAACAATCAGAAAGCCTGATAGTTGAAGATCAGATGGTTCCGGTGCTGGCGCGGGGCTGAGGATGCCGACTTCGACCTTGTCAGATCCGCTCCGTGGGATGTCGAGATTCCAGGCGTCGAGGGTGGTGAACTCGCCGATAGGATCATAAATGATGTCCGGTTGTCTTGACCACATCGTCGTTAGTGTCAGGGTGTGAGAGATGCTGTCATAGTCGAAGTCCACCGAGTCAGCTATGTTCAGGAGAGTTGCTGTGTGCAGACAGACAAGGTCGGATGGCCTGCAGACCTTCCGCTGCAGGTATGCCACGAGTGGCTTTATCGAGGGAAGAAGAGAGTAGTATTGCAAGGAGGCGGTCTGAGCGAAACGCTCAGAGATCAGCGCAGGGCTGGTAAATGTTGACTGCGGCGATTCACATCGGAGGCCTGGCCCGAGTACTTGGTGAAGAAGATTGCAAAGTCGATCGGGTTGGTCCTCCTTCAAGGGGGTGTACAGGACGTGCAAGCCTGGCGATATCCTTGAAAGAAACGGAACTGTGGTATTGTAGGGACGCTCGGGCGCCCATCGAACATGCAACTCATGAGACTCCTTCAAGACATCCACCACGTCCTGCGGGAGTTCTTCGAGGCCCAGAGTCAGCCGTTCTTCTCGAGCGGCCTTCAAAGCTCCGAGCAGAAGCTGGTTTTGGTAGACCTGGATGTCGGCTGGGTTGACAGCACGGCTGGGGTGAGTGATGTAGGTTGGGCGTCTGCGCATCGCGATATTGAAGGACTCTAGTCAGCACAGGTGGGCAGATTCTTCGATGATATACGATTGCTGTGGACGGGTGGGAAGTTCACCGACATTGTTGATGTTTCTTCAATGTTGGTTGAGGTTGAGATATGTAGAACACGAGTTACGAGCTACGAGCTACGATATACGAGACACGGTTATCGATAAGACCCATCGCGAACCGACACCTTAGGCACCTAATTATTAGGTATATTTATTTATTATATGACACCTCCTCAACTCCCTCATGCCAACATGTCATTATTCACGTCTTTGGTTCCTGTCCAGATACGTTTAATGGATGTTTCTCTCCATCAGTCGATCTAGACCCTGAGTGTCACTCTTACCACAGCTTCCTCGGCCACCCGCGACTCACTGCCGCCATGGCGCCAACCGTGTCCTCTTCCCAGATCAAACTATCCTATCCTCTCTATGCCGCCGACTTCGACCCTTTCAATCCTGACTTCCTCCTGGTCGGCGGTGGCGGAGGCTCTTCATCCACCGGCGTTCCCAACAAGATCTCTCTCATTGACGCCTCCCGCCGGGATCAACCGGCTGAAGTGGCCGATGTCGAGCTTGTCAAGGGCGAAGATTCCGTGACAAGTCTTGCTGTCGCCGAGTCCTCTGGCTCTGCCTTGACTGCGTTTGCGGGCATCAACAGCTCTATCGCCGACCAGAACGCGGGAAAGAATGAACATCTCAGGGCATTCCGGATTGGGCTACCAACAAGGAAGAGAAAAGCAGATGGTGGCGCTCCGGACGGAGAGAAGCCAGTGGCCACGGCACCAGGATCACAACCCCTTGGACGGACCGCTCTGTTCAAATCCGCAACAGGCACGAAGAACGAAACATACCAAAGAGTCCTGCGTCTTTCCCCGACCAAATCCATTGACCAGCCTCGACTTGCCGCTATCGCCTCAGGCCTGGCTCCAGAAAACGAGATCATTGTGTTTCGACCGACAGCGAACCCAAAGTCGGATGATGAAGTATCGCGCATTAGCCTGGGAGGACGTGAAGCAGCAGACTTGGATTTGATCTCTGATACCGAGAAGGAGGCTCATCTTCTGGCATATTGCACCGACGACGAAGTGTTTGTGCAGCCCCTTCCCGCCGCCTCAATGCCTGGGAGACCGATATCTTTGTACCGGGGTCCGGAGTCTACAACGTCGCTGCCGCCGTCGAAGAGAGCCAAATTTCGCTCCATACGGTTTCTGACCCCTCGGTATTTGTTGCTCCTGCAAAACAAACCCGGACGGACAGGTGCGGACCTCCTAGTCCTTCGAGTCAGTAATGATCTGTCACAGGCTGGCATCTCACTCCGGAAGCGACTCCACAAGTCGACAAAGGCGGCTGTAGGGTTGGAAATTTGCCCCTTGACCGAGTCCGAACGGGGTGAGCGGCAATTTGTTATTGCTGTCGCCGGACAAAATGGCGATGACAGCTCCATAGAGCTGTTGACAATCGACTACTGTCCCGACGCTGCCCTGGGAAGGTTTCGGCCCTACACTTTCCTCCGAAGCGTCCATAAAGGCCCTCTCACGAAGCTGGTCTTCTCGAACTTCATCGGCCCTGCACTTCCCGTCACAAAAGATGTTGGCCCCCAATCCGTGCGCCTTGCCTCGGTGGGCGTTGATCAATGTGTCGCGGTGCACCACCTTTTTCTCCGGCCATTTCCCGCCACCTACACGAAACGGCCACGATACGTACTTGTCCCGCCAGGCCGGTCGGAAACCATGCAGACCACATTCAGCGTATTCTTTGCTCTGGTGGTTGTCGGGGTCGTGGCATTCCTCATGCAAGCCTTCTGCGAGATCCGCGGGGCCGTGCCACCGTTGCTCGGCGCCTCGGACTGGCTATCTCCAAGCATGCGCGAGCTGGTCGTACGGCCATACGTCTTCGCCGACGTTGCTCGGTCAGAGATACCAGTTGCGGCACACAGCGCGACAGAAAAACTGAAAGACGCCACTTCCCAGATCCCATCTGTGGACCAGGTGCAGAGTAGCATCGAAGATGCTGCGGTAGGGATCAAGCAGACGCTGAAAGATCTGGTGGCGGAGAACTCGGAGCTTGAGACCCCCAACCACATTATCGTCCGCGAAGAGCCTGGTTCGGGCCAAGTTTCCACAGAACTCGCACAGGACGCGACGCTTGTGAAAGACGAGACGTTGAGACAGTGGGAAGACCTGACGGAGACGCAGAAGAAGAGCTGGAAGCGGAGACTTGTCGATGCCGGCCACTGGGCCGAGGACCAGGGCGAGACTATCTTCAAGGGCATTCTATTCTCTCAGCTGGCCGACGCCGTAGGACATGCAGTGGCAGGATAAGACGCAAGAGACGGGACGGTATACGATAGCATAGATAGATTCTATAGCTTTGCTGACCGAGATGGACACGAATGTCTTGCCAGCCCCAGCCTTTCCCACTCGTATCGATACCAATTGTCCCACACGCGTATGTCTCCGTGCTAGTATACCTTACTGTCTGTCGGGACGGCGAGTGCTGAGCTGAACTACGTACGTGGTAACTACACAGTGCTTGATATGCTTTGGCTGTCGATGATTATGCTCGACATGCTTTCCACTGTCGATGATTATGCTCGATATGCTTTCCGCTGGCGATGATTGTGTGCTTGCTTGATATACTTTCCACTGTCCATGGTTGTGCTTGATATGCTTTCCGCTGGCGATGATTGTGTGCTTGCTTGATATGCTTTCCACTGTCCATGGTTGTGCTTGATATGCTTTCGCTGTCGATGATGGTGCTTGATATGCTTCCCCTTTCCGCTGTCGATAAGTGTGCTGCATTGCATGGCAATGGCAATGGCACAACAAACTACAACTACCCAGATCTGCCGCAACCCGCAACCCGCAACCGGCAACTTGCTGCTTCATTTTCTACCGGTTCGAAGCTGGCCTTACTGTAGGCGCCCTCACCAAGTCCCTGCAGGGCCTGGGATCGCGGCTGCGAAAGATAGGACCACAGAGGCTCTATTACCTGATATACTGTATGTAGCATGGCTGACGCGGGCATTCAATTCAGCGCAACGCGACACAGACACAGACACAGACGATCTACGGGTTGGTGAAAGAGTGGCCAGTGGCCGATAGCCAGAACAGGACGGGACAGCATTGCACAAGCAAGAAAATTTTCGCATATCAGGTCTCGCACGCATGCATTTGGAAGATCAATCAGCGTTTCCCATCAATCATCAGCGTAGAAGAAGACGAACAACAACAAGAAGATCTTCGTCTTGTGCGCCTTGCCCGCTTCCATTCCAGCTCCTGAATTCGCCGTCATTTCGTGGGTGATGGTTGCAGCTCTTCTTCTGGACCCCGAAGCACTGAACTGCTCAAGTCCGGCATGGCATCTTCCCTTGCCCGATGCTATGGGCCACTTGTGTCACTCGATTCTCGAAAGCCGCTCACTCGGCAGCTTTCCCTGTTCAGCGCCGCTTCGTTGAAATCTCCTGCTACCTCGTCATCCATTTGTTTCCCTTTTCTTTTTTTTACTATCGGCCAGTCCTGGATCTTGTAGCTCTGTATCGAGTCCATCACATATCCAATCTGATGGATGGCCAGCAGCGCGTACAAGCGCCAGAACAGCGCCCCTTGACACTCGGATCATCTCGCCATCCCAACACTGAGGGGGGAGAAAAACAAGGCCATGGTCGTCCACGCCAACTCCATCCTGATGACGGAATACTCATTGTCGGCCCTTTTCCCGCCACTTGAGCAGTTCGCTTAGACTGGCAAGACTGCATCCCATTCGCATGAAGTCGTTCCGTAATAGTTCGTCTGCGCTGGCGCGGCTTCTAACATCGACACACAGACAAACGCTCAAGAACGCTTTGAGCTCTCGGGAAAGCTTGTTGGGATTCTTCAGTCGAGGAGTGCCGTTGGTTGCAATCAGGAAGAGTGCCTTCAGTGGTTCCTCATTCAGATATGGTGGCTCGGATTCGATCATCTCGATGGCCATAATACCAAGTGACCAGATGTCAACCTTGGGGCCATATTCTTTCTGCTTCACAACCTCCGGCGCCATCCAGTAGGGTGTGCCGACCATTGTTGCGCGCTTGCTCTTTGATTCGGTGAGCTTAGCACAAAATCCGAAATCAGCTGTAGATTGTAGGTTAGCAGGCAAAACTATGACTTCGGACGTCTAAAGCTACTTACTGATCTTGACATTCCCCACGCGGTCGAGCAACACATTGTCACTCTTGATATCTCTGTGGATGATGTCCTGGGAATGTAGATGAGCAAGGCCTTTGCAGGTTTCAAAGCAGATGGTGGCAATCTGATCTTCTGTGATCACCGGGTTGTTGTCGATGATATCTGTGAGTGCACCACCCTCCATGAATTCCATCACCACCCAGAGCTCGTTGTTCTGCTCTTGCAGGAAGGAATCGAGGAAGTTGACGATATTGGGGTGTTTCGAATCTTTCATGACAATGATTTCGTTGACAATGAGCTCCTTGCGTGGCTGATTTCGAAGATCCATCTGTTTAATGGCAACCTGACCTTTGGGGCCATGTGTACGGTAGATTTCCCGTGCCACGGGGGAAGGCGCGCTTTCCTTCACCCTGGCGACGTAGACCGAACCAGAGGCCCCTTGGCCGATCTTTTTCTGCTTGCTATACGAGTCCATGGGGTTGTCTTTAGAAACAACCTGCTTAAGCTTGGCCATAACTTCGCTCTCGCTCATACTGGACATGCGAACCTCCTTTGCTCGTTCCTCAACCGGCTTCTTCGCGGACAGTGCAATCTCAGCATCTTTGCGTGGGTCAGCGCCAGGCTTGGTTTGCTGTTGCTTTGCAACGTTCAGAGGCTTTGGTTGCTGTACAGATCCTGGCGAGCGACCTGGCGCCTGTCCATTGGCGCCGTTGGCTTGCTGCTTTAGGGCGGCATCTTTGCGTGGCGCTTCCCTTTCTGGTTGGTACCGAGCGTTCGGGGAAGGTTGTCGATCTCGCTCTCTACTTTCTGGTGATCGTAGAGAACTTTGGCCGGCCGAGGAAGATTGAGGAATGGATTTTTGGGAGTTGCTGGTAGTAGGTGCAGAAGGGGCTGGTCGCTGTGCAATAGGCTGTTGTCGGAGAGCAGCTGAAGGTGATTGCTGAGGAGCACTTGGGGCAGCTCTTGCAGGATTGTATCGAGGGTCTTGTCTGTTCGGCGTACGATCAGAACCACCTGAAAAACCGCCAACCTCTTGTTGAGCCAACGGGGGCCGAGTCTTGGGCAAGGATGCATTGTATGCTTCTTGTTCTCGACGAGTCCGCTCCGCTTCCTCCCGCTCCTGCTCCCGCTGTTTTTCCAAGTCCCGTGCTCGCTTGGTCTCGGCTTCCAGCTGGCGGCGTTTCTGTTCTTGCATGGCAATCTCTTTAATCCGTGCGGCATCGGCTTCCATGTCATAGGCTCCTTTATCAGTCTGCGCTCGTTGCAATTGAGGCTTCAGAGGCGGTGTACCCGACCGTGCCTGGCCGTCCTGGTATTTGCTCATGAATTGATTAGCATTATAGCGCTGAGCATCCGTGGGCGGCGCTGGTCTTGGAGGAGCAACACTGTTAACACCGGTAGGGTAGCCAAGTTGCTTGTTGGATTGTGATGCTGGGGGAGTGACCATGCCGGGTGTGTACATTTCTGGATGTTGCTCTCGCATCTTCTGGTCAGAAACAAATTGGAGGACTTCGATGACCGCCTGCGGGTTTTTCTTGTAATCGTCTCTCGTGATGGCCGAGTTGTTCAAAAGTTTCTCCCACTCTTGAGGTAACCCAGTAAAGCCGCCAGTCTGCGGGTCAAAGCCAACATGGATGCGATGACTGAAATTCGTCGGGTTACTAACGCCCCCCATGCCCGGACATCTTTCGTAGATCTTGTCAATCCAATCGTAGATTTCGTCGTCATTGTGGACTTCACAGGTGATAGTCCGGGTGGGCATATCGCGGCTCATGATGATCTTTCCGTTCGCTTCTTTGGGGTTGGTAACTCGGGTGATTTCGAACGCCATTCGAGTATCCTCCGAGCGTGTTACACCGGTAATCGTGTTCAGTTGGATGGTCTGCATCACCTTCCCATTTTCATTCTTGAGGAAGTCCAATCTAAATTCTCGGAGAATTAGGTATCGTTGGTTCCACTGTGACAGAAGCCTGTCTTCTTTGCAGCGCACATAGCCCTCTTTGATGATTGTAATGGACGCTGAAGATTTCCCGGCTCCTACCAGTGACAAAGAACTACCGTTGGAGAAATACGGCCCACTGGGTGTACTGAGCGCAGGGGAGGAGGGGGCACCCATTGACATGGATTCAAAGGTAGCAGTCGATAGAGAGGTATTGGATCGTTGCAGGTCGATGTGTCGAGGTCGATCGGTAGGAGGACGGGGAGCGGGACCTGGATTCATGAATTGACCTGCGCCATAGAAGCTGGATGCAGTCAGCACCCGTACATTGCACATGATGATAGATCGGTCGAGACTGAGAGGAAATGCGTGGGTAGATTTAGAGATCGGCAGCAATAACAATCAATACTCACCCATTTTCCTGGCTTGAGGCCATGTCTTAATCTCGTGCAGAGGAACGTGGTGTACGTTCAACGAGGGATGTGATGTTGAGCGTCGAGGGGGAGGTGGAGTGGGAGCAGAACCTGTGCTCAGCGAAGAGAGACTGTCGGCGGAACCAAGACGAGCCAGGACAGCATGCGTGCGGCGGCGGTGATCAGTTGTAAGAAGAGTGAGATAAACAAGTCGATGGTACACGTATGAAATCTCGTGCACGATTTCGATTTCACGGGATGATTGAAAAAGCGTGCAGTTTGTCAATCGATCGGTCCGCACGCGGATTTGTGACTGGTGGTGTGTCGGCGGTGAAAGTGAAGAGAGTGAGAGTCCCTGTCTGAGAGAGCAGCGCAGCACAGCAGCGTAGAGCAGAGCAGAGCAGACGTGTCAAACCGTGTCAATCGAGTCTCTGGCGATAGACAGAGTGAGTTGTGGACAAGGGCTGTGGTGAGGAATAGGGTGCGGCACAGCGAATGAACCTAATCAGGCTGAGACAACGGAGCAGTGTGATCCTAGCAGGTTGAGGTAGTAGAGCAACGTGCTGAGTACTTTGCAGTGGTGCTTCTCCGGTACTACTAGTACTGTGAGACCGCTTGGATGGAGATGTGAGATGGAGGGCGAGGTGGTGCTGGTGGTGGTGCTGGACTGGTACTGGTACTGGGATGGGTACTTGTCGTAGTCAACCACCCATGCGCATTGCCGTTGGTTGGCTGCGGGCGGCTAAAGGGCGACGGCTAGGTGACGGCTGGTGGATGAATGGGATAGGAGGGATAGCAACAATGGGGGCTTTTTTAAGCCCTTGTTGCGGCCTGGATCAATTTCTATGGCTGGCACACCCCCCGAACATCACTGGCTTTCCTGGCCCAGGTCCCCCTAACAGGGGCCCTTACAGTACGGATACTTTGTCAGTCGACTGTCAGCCGTTGTTCCTCTGATCCTGACTTCAGCCCTCGCTCATCTGAAACACTCGCAGGAGGCGTTGGAAATCCGCCGAGGCGATCAGCTAGTGACGCCTCAATCGCCCCTGGATTTTGAATTGCTGCATACATCCCTAACCGAAGCGACAAATCATCTTTATCTTTGCGCCCTTTAGGCCGCTTCTTCTCTTCTAGAACTCGACTGTGCTCAATGCTCACCGGGACGCTCTGATTATTAGGCTGTTTCGCCAGTCCGATAGCCGCCCTTCGGCTCGTGGATGGGCACCATCTGTGTGACCCCGGAAGGTTTGATATATCTCCAGCAACTCTTTCAGTCTAACTGGACCCAAAATGGCCTCCTCCATCGTAACCGATATCACGTCGGATGCACCGGTAGGCATTAAATTCCTGTTGTGGTAACGATCCTCCAGCTGCGGAACGAATAGTGACGAGCCTGCGGTCCGTTCCCAACCATCCGACAGGGGTGAAGTCAATACCGGCAGCTGTCACAACCACTCGAGTATTCATTCTGCTGGGTTCTTGTGTTTTCTATCCTGAGCATTGGCCATCAAGGTTTTCCCTGTGTTGCATCCATCCTCGCGGAGCAGGCGGTCAGGCACATGGCACAATGGTCGTAGGGATCACATGACAGCTCTCGACAGCGCCCTGTAAAGATGGGTGAACATAGTCAACATCTGTAACCGGCCTGGTCAAGAAGGCATACATCTTTCAGTTGAGGCGCAGTTCGTGGCGATGAGGCATGGAGGTCAAGGCGTCAGGGGTGGTGTTCCGGGCATGTTAAGTTCTCTGCAACAATTCAGACCCAGAGCAGCTATTGTGACATACCACTTTGCACTCCATGCACATAGGGTCTGTAGTATGCTGATAGATGACACGATCAGAGGAAACATCGAGGTGAGGACTCCTACTAGGTAGTATGTTAGCCTGTCCGACAAGGCTGAGAATACAGTGACGAGGCTCGAATTCTCGACCAATGATGTCATCGTAGCTGGACCTTCAGGCTCTTTGAGGGCAAAATAATTTCTAAGCCGTTTTGGCTGTAAGACGCAGTCTAAATGCGATTACTACTATATACACGTCCTTTTGCTATAAATCCAAGCCCTACCACTTCCCATTACTGCCACTCGCCCTCCACGCTGGTCTCTCAGTGAAAATTTCCACCTCAACCACCCACCATGTCCACATCCGAACCCCCCCATCTCCCCGATGGTCTAGAAGAGGGCGACCTTCTTGACGCAGATGATGCCGCCGAAGAAATCGCTAAAGACGATGACCAGCCGATGGATGAAGACTTCGATGACCTTGACGAAGAGGAGGAGATCCAGTTACAAAATGACTCGGTCGCGCACTTTGATGCTCATACCGACAGCATCTTCTGCATAGCACAACACCCAACCAAACCGTCTATCATAATCACCGGAGGCGGCGATGATGTGGCATATATTTTCGACGCCTCCGTGCCGCAAGCAATCTCCGCTCCAGGCGGTGAGCGGCAGAGCCTGGCGCCGCTACAGAAACTTGACGGACACACCGACTCCGTCAACGCCTCAACGTTCACACTGCCGCAAGGCAAGTACGTTGTGACGGCCGGCCTGGACGGAAAGTTACGGGCGTGGAAGAACGACGACGGGTCCGGGAAGAGATGGACATATCTCGCAGAGGCGTCCGAGGTGCAGGAAATCAACTGGGTGGCCGCGTCGCCCAATCCCGAACACGAAAATGTCGTTGCACTGGGTGCCAACGACGGCTCTGTCTGGGTGTATCAGATCAATGCTGACGACCAGGGGAGCCCCTTGACTATCGTCCAAGCGTACTACTTACACACTGCCTCCTGCACAGCGGGCGCGTGGACACCGGATGGAAATCTATTGGCCACCGTATCTGAAGATGGGAGTTTATACGTCTGGGACGTATTTGTGACCGGCCAAGCAGTGGTGACCTGCACGGCCGGGGATGCACGCTTCGAGGTCGAAGGTGGACTTTACAGCGTGGCGTGCACATCGTCTCTTGTCGCCGTCGGCGGCGCAGGCGGCCATATCAGAGTAGTCGGTCTCCCCCAGCCGGCCGATCAATCAAAAAAGAACGCAAAGGGCGCGGGTGCGTCTCGGCAACCCGCCTCATCTGCAGGCCAGCTCCTAGCCGCGTTACAGGCACAAGCCGACGGGGTCGAAACCCTCTCATTCTCCTCACCCCCGCTCAACATCCTGGCGGCAGGCAGCGTCGACGGTTCGATAGCGTTGTTTGACACGGCTCACCGATTTGCCCTTCGGCGACATATTAAAGAAGCGCACGAAGACTATGCAGTGGTAAAGGTCGATTTCGTGCGCAACCCACAGCGCGGAGGTTGGCTTCTGACCAGCGTAGGTATGGACGGGGTCGTGAGACGGTGGGATGTCCGCGGCGGAACGACTGCAGCGGGACAGGGATTCTTACAAGAATGGAGAGGGCACAGAGGCGAAGGCGAAGGCGGAGGCATCTTGGGCTTTGTGCAAGGGGGTGGGGGTTCGAGGATTGTCACGGCTGGCGACGATGGCATCGCACTGGTGTTTCAAGCAGACATTGCTTGAAAAGGGATGCGAGCAGTTCTTGGAGTGAATAGACCCAACTGATGAGAAGCTTTGGTGGTGAAAATGCCAATGAAGTTCAGCGTCCAACCCCTCCCCACACACTTGCCATGGATGGGCGTCGGGACATCTTACCCTCTCCCATGGCGCACCTTCCCAGGCATTGCGAGACTGACCTTACATTGAACCTTGTGCCCTCCTCAAGACATCTTCGTACAGATCGCACCCATTGAAATCATGTCTCCCACGCGATTCACCAACAAACTTGCCGGCCAACGCGTCCTCCTAGTGGGTGGAACTGGCGGCGTAGGCCTCAGCGTTGCCCAAGCCCTTCTCGAGTTCGGCGCAACCGTCGTTCTGTCTTCTTCACGCGCGGCCAAAGTCAAAGACATCTGCGCAGCATTGGTCAAGGACCACCCCAACGCGGAAGACAGAGTCTCGGGCCATGTGTGTGATCTGGCCAGTCCCAGTGTCGAATCCAACATCGAGGTACTCTTCGACAGGGTTGGGAACGTGGACCACATTGTCTACATGGCGGGTGATCGGTTGCCCATGGTTCCATTGGACGACGTGACCTTGGAAACATGGCAGAAATGCAATCAAGTCCGGACCATTGCAGCCATTCTTGTGGTCAAGGTCGGAACCAGGTACATGAAGAAGGATCGGCGTTCGTCAATCGTTCTGACCGGCGGCTCCATCTGCGAGAAACCGATTGCGGGTGGATGGTCTATGCTGGCCCTCATGGGCGCCGGGCTCAACGGCCTTGGTAGACAACTGGCTTATGATTTAGCACCCATCAGGGTCAACGTGGTCGCCCCCGGAGTTGTCGAGACGGATATGTGGCACGGGATCGGAATGGACGAGGATGGCAAAAGGGCTTTCTTCGCCGAGCACGAGAGCATGATTCCGACGGGAAAGGTTGGACAGCCCGAGGATTTGGCCGAGGCATACCTGTACTGCCTCAAGGACGCCAATGCGACTGGTGTCGTGGTGCACTCAAACAGTGGCACTTTCTTGATGTGATGGAGTGGCAGAGAGGGACCAGCTGCAGGGAAGGCAATATGAGAAGAAGGAGGCGAGTCCTGGTCCGTGGTCAGAACCATTAATCGTTCTGTTTCTCAGACATCCCATAGTAGTATATGGAGTAGAGTAGAGTACGGATGCCTACTAGGTACCTAACAGACCACCTCGTTCTTCGTTCGTATATCCGTACTTGCATCTACGGAGTACGGAGTACAGACTACCGGATGGTGGGAGCCTTGTCGGTCGGCGCAGCCAGTCGATCACGTGGGCGCTGGCTAAGGCTTAGGAGGCCTAAGCCTTCCACTGCTGATTCTCAGCTTTCTCTCTCTCTCTCTCTCTCCCTCTCTTCCCCCCTACGATTCATGTTCATTTCTCAGCCAAATTAATTGCTGTTTCGGCAGGGTCGGGGTCGGGTCAAAACTTGTCGCTCCCACTGCCATTGCATCAGGCCCATCAGCCATGACATCAACGTCGAAGTCAACCTCGACAGCGACGGTACCCCGGTCGACACGGCCGACGCACGACAGCAGCGGGGCGCTATTGCCGGCGATCCTCTGCCTGCACGGCGGCGGGTCGAACGCGACGGTATTCAAGATCCAGGCACGACGGTTGATTTGGACGCTGGAGAAACAGTTCCGATTCGTGTTCGCCGAGGCGGAGATCGAGGGCACGCCCGGGTTCGGGATGCTGCCGGTGTTCGCGTCGTGCGCGCCCTTCTACCGCTGGGTGAGCCGGCGGTTCGTGGCGGGCGAGAGCGAGGTGGAAGCGACGCCTGGCGACGAAGCGGCCGCGGTGGACGAGGCGTTGCGGCGAGTCATGGAGGCCAACGGCGGAGTCGACTCGTTCAAGGCCGTGCTGGGCTTCAGCCAGGGCGCGCGGCTGGCGGCTGGCCTGTTGCTGCGGCAGAAGATCGAGGAGCGCGACCTCGGCCGGAGTCAATGGAACTTTGCGTTCGGCGTCATGTTGGGCGGCCCGTACCCGCCCATCGCCCTCTCCGAGCACGTCGACCCGGCCGATTACGCCCTTCTCCCGACCGTGCCGACCGTGCATGCTTGGGGCCGCGATGACCACGTCAGGGATGGCTGTGCCGCTCTCGTCAAGCTGTTCGACAGCGACCATTGCTTCTCCATGCAGTACGACGGCGGTCATCATCTGCCCTTGAAGGACGTCGAGGCCAAAGACCTGTGTGATTTGATCATGGCCGCCTGGTATGCTGGGGGAGGCCGGTTTGATATTGCCGCAGACGAGAGGTACTAGGGACTAGATACTAGGGACTAGGACTAGGGACTATGTACTAGGGACTAGATACTAGGTACTAGGTACTAGGTCCTGGGTACTAGGTCCTAGGCCTTCCCTCAGCCGGGCCTGTCCTGTCCTGTCGGCTTAGGCCTGATCTGATGATGCTGAGCCGACATGCAACGGAAAGGGGATGAAGATACCAGGCAGACCAGGTCGAATATCGCATACATTGGTTGACTGGCATGGCAGTCGGACAGGACAGCCCTCTGCCCTGCTACCTGCAACCTGCTACCTGCAACCTGCTACCTGCAACCTGCTACCTGCTACCTGCTACCTGCTACCTGCTACCTGCTACCTGCTACCTGCTACCTGCTACCTGCTACCTGCTACCTGCTACCTGCAACCTGCAACGACTACACCTAGTGCTCCTGCTCCTACTACTGAACATGAATACCGGAGGTGCAAAGTCGATGGATACGAGATATTACGAGCATGGCGAGCACGGCGAGCATGGCAAGCATGATAATAAGGTAGCATGCATAGCATGCATAGCTTGCATAATAGAGGTTGGCATGGACCGTCTGACAACCCACGTTTCTCGTGAGTGGGTGATGATCAGATTGCACTTGGATCAGATTGCCCTTTGATTCGATTCAATGGAGTTTCACTTCCAGATAGTAGATACAGTAGAGACAAATTCAAATTGAACCTCCTACACACTCCACACTCCACATTCCACATTCCACATTCCACATTCCTACGATATTTGTTGACAGCCCCATCCGCATCCCCATCCGTGACAACTAGGGAACGAGACGAGACAGACGAGACGAGATAGACAACATGATGAATATGATAGATTGATTCCCTGCCCCTGCCTGGTCCACTGGACGCTTGGGGTGGGAACATTGGAACATTGGCACACTGGCACACTGGCACACTGGCACACTGGCACACTGGCACACTGGCACACTGGCACACGGCACACTGGCACACTGGCACACTGGCAAGTTGGAACGTAGAAACGTAGAAACTAGGAACTAGAAACTAGGACCTGGCATGCGCTAGGCATCATGCGAGCCACTGTCCAGCGGAGAGATCGAGCAGCATATATCGGTATCGATTACTCTGTATCTGTATCTGTATCTGTATCTGTATCTGTACATGATGGAACAAAAATGCTGCTCTGTTACAGCTTGTCAAGGGCTGTTTGTTCATCGTCTGCCCTCAAAGGCAACGTCGACATTCTGTTTCTGTTCCTGTTGCCCGTCTGTTGGACGCGATGCTACATCTCTTAGAGCCAACTCCCACGGCTGCCATTTGGGAAACTCGAAATCATCTTCCACGTGCGACAGAACCCTCTGTCGTGTCCACCAGAGCCTTCTTCCCAAGTAGAACATTTCGGGAGTGAGCACCACTCTTTGCTTGCCCTTCACATACGCCATGGAGAGATGCGTCACCAGGTTGATGCAGAAGGAGAAATTCAACGTCCACGTGAGGTGTCTGGAAGAGTCCACCACCGCCCACAAAACCGTGGAAGCTGCCTTGGCCGACCCGACCGTCACAACCACCTGGAGCCATTTGACGAAGATCTGATTGTCGAACGGCACGCCGCTGACGCCTTGGACATATTCGCTCTCATGGATCCGCTCGATGAGATTCAGCGCGTCGGCCGGGTTGTCCAGCGCGACCTTGTCAATGAGGTACTCGAGTAACGAATGGTCGACTGGGAACCCTTGCTTTGCTCGGGTCGAATAATAGGTAATGACCGCCGTGGATAAGTCCTTATACCCGGGCAACTTGTCTTGCTTGAAGACGTCCGGGAGAGCTGGATTCAGAGCCGGCTGCCTCGTGTCTGAAGTCGGGTTGCGTCGGATCGTCACAGGCTCGGGAGTTTCATTGTCCGTGGGATCGGCCACGTCAGGCATGAAAACGTCACCCCGCAAAACCCTGGTCAACTCGTCAACTGCATCGAGTTGGACAGCAATATCGCGCTTTAGCTTGTCGATTGTCGCTGCTTCATTGTCTACCGCCCTCGGCAAGGTACAGAAATGTCGAGCTTCTTCGAGAAGCTGGTTCATGCTCATCAAAGGGATTCCGTCACGAGAAAGAAGTACTTCTGACGGTAAAGCAGAGGCTGCGTTCAGGCGTTGACTGAGGTCCAGCTTTACCAGGTCCGCCAGTAAAGGTCTGAGGTAGTGGGGGAACGGGTCGTCGTAACATCCGTGGGCAATCGCCCGGCATGTATCCGCAATGTCCCTACAGCTGGCACCGGCGCTCTGTAAGGCATGGGCAAGCTGCCAGGCACCACTAGCAGTCGTGAAGCTCGATGTCAATCTCGGAAAAGCTTCGCTGACAAGGCGGGTCCACTCGAGGACCAAGTCGTAACGACTGTCCCTAATGCATGCGCGTACGATTGTTCTTGATATTCGCCCAATCGGGATCAAGCCTGTATACTTGATTGCATTGACTGCAAAGCCAAAGGTTCGATGTGCAGGATTCTTAGAGGAATAGTGCATTAACATCCGATGAAATATGGTGGCGTACTGTTCAGGTTGGTGTCGGGAATAGCCAGTCTCCTGCAATTGATCCAGAATCCATTGTGCCTCTTCCCAATTCCCGGTGGCCGCGTTCCAAACAGCATATTCGCCCCGGAGACGTTGCATCTCGCGCAGCTCATACATTGAATCGAGCATGTGCAGCACGGAACGCGCTGCCTCGATGTTGCCTGTGCGGACCACCGCTTGGAGAATAGGCATGGCAAACTTCTCGCTAGGCTCGTACCCGCTGCGCCTTGCAATATCGATGATTTTTGCCATCTCTTGAACACAGGCGGAATGGTCCTCAGTGTGCTCACAAAATAAGGTCAGATACTTCACGGCCAATCCAAAATAATTGTCCATTGCACTCTGTTCGACCGCGCTGTTTTTCTGGCCCAGGGGTTGAGAAGGGAAGAGAATCTTTCGAGCTCGCTCACCGTTTGGTTCGGTAGAGAGTAGATGTCGCAGGAGGTCGAAAAGGGGCTGACTTAGTACATCGGCGTCCTTGAAAAGACCGCGACCCGCACAGAACACAGCTTCTGCGACAAGCCAGTCTGGTGATCGATCTTGCTGGATGTAGTGTCTCATAACAGCGGTCCATCTGCGAAATTGAGTCGGCTTGCTCGTCTGTCGTGTTGTTGGATGGATAAAATCCATCAACATCAACAGTGTATCCGGATCCACCGCTTGAGTTGCGCGATCCACCGCCTGAAACGGGAAAAAGGGGCAAGACGAGTGTGGGTTAGGTAGTCGGGCTCCCTTCGCAGAATCGAGATGCTCCCTCAGGGCTTGTTCCATTGATTCGTCGGCATCACACGTAACCAAGTGATGCGGAATTGAAAAGCAGGACGATTGTTCATCGGGCATCTTCCTTTTAGCCTTAGATATATATCTGCTGAGCTCGAAACAGCTCGGCCCTATTTGGTGGTAGCAGCCTCCCACGGGAAGCTGTGTATGAGCAACCGCTGGTGAGGCATAGGGCAGAGGTGTCCAGCGCAACCCATGGCCATGTGTCCGCGACTGATTGGCGGCCCCAGCCAACCGTACCTCACCGGAAGGGAGGTCTTGTTTTGCCGGAGTTCCTCTAGGGTTTATATCAGACCTGGGGTAATCAAGGCCAGTATCCAAATCGGTGTCCCCATTTTCCGTTGTGCCTTGAGTCAACCACCTTTCAACACAGCCTGGGAAAATATCCGTTTGGGATTGGTACAGTGAGGCCGGACGGTTTTGAACACTTTCAAGGGGTGTTGTATTTTCTTCTTTGTGGGCCATAGAGAGAATCTTTCTAAAGGGCTTGTTCCGCGACCATTTGACTGCCGGAGTATCAGATCCGGCCGAGCCGACATCCGGTCCTGACCCAGATTCGTACCCATGACCAGGTAGACTGATGAAGGGTTTGACAGTCTCAGGTGGTCTTGACTCGGAGCTGTCATCCAAGTTGTCAGGCACAACAGCGGTCGACAGAGACCTGGATCCATGCTCTCTCCTCCTTTTCCTAGGGCTTCTTGACCGCAGAGAGAAGTCTTCCCCTCGTTCCGCAGCTTCGAAACGGGCGTTGAGATGTGCGGTCCCTCTTCCGCTCGACACAGATCTTAGGATTCGCTTCGTTTCGACGATTTTTTCGGCTACGCGAACTCGGCGGCGTGTTTCGTAGTCTAACGCGGCGACGCCGCAGATGCTCCCTACGGTACCGACCAAAATGGACGGGGTAGATAGAGCTAAGTGGCGAAGGGCTCGCAACGCATTTTTGGACGGTACGAGGCTTGTCGGAGGTGTCATAGGGAGGAGACCATTTCTTGTGAGATTGGGTACCTTTCTGCAACGATATCAGCAGCTGGAGGCTTAGGCATCCATTGAGCTTGGAAGTAGAGCAACTCGAGGCTGCGGTCGAGGGCTGCGAAGAGTCTTCGGTGTGTTGATAGTATCCGTACTCGGTTCAATGGGCTGTCACGCAACCTCGAACTACAGTTTGGCCGTTCACCACTGACTGCACTGCGCTGCACTGCACCGTGATACTGGTACGGTCTTATCCTGAGAAGGTTTTCCGAGAAGTTGAGATATAACCGGGGACTAGTCGAATAGCGTAATTTTTCATTTTACTTGCATTAGGATCTTACCGAAACAGGCAGTGCTCAAAACAAGTGTATAAACCAGTGTATAAACCAGTGGGCAGTGACACACATGACTGATTTGAGGCCTCCTCGCCGACGACGTGATAGCCGCCAGGTTCAGTCGGTTATACACAAATGGCTCGACGAGTAACGCAGCATAGACGTAATCTTCGATTATTTTGGAACGGTGGTTTTTGCTGGCCCAACCTCGCCGTCAGACGTGATCGAGAGAAAGAGAAAGGGGAAAGAAGAAGAAGAAGTGGTATTTTTAGTTGGATGTCACCTCTCATGCCCACGGCAGGAAGGTGTAACAATACCACAAGGAATACGAGCATGCTGCTTGTTTGGAGCCGCCGTTTCCGTTCGCAGAACAGGCTACCGTTTTCAGCACAAAGAATGTTCGACCTGTTCCTCTCGAGCCTCGAGCCCACCGAGACGGGGCCGAGTGCAGTGCATTCCCTCGAATGGGTCCTCCGCACCGTGGCTAACCCAGATCCGGCACATTCCAATGAACTTTGACCTCGAATGCATCCGCGACAAAGACAGAGAGAAAGAGAGAGAGAGAGAGAGAGAGAGAGAGAGAGAGAGAGAGAGAGAGAGAGAGAG